TATGTGTAATGTTTATTTGAAAACTATTTACAGAGCAGCCTCAGAACTGAGATTAAATATTTTTGATCACAATAGTAAAGGGACTGCCTGGGAGCCCCGTAATGCATAGCGTCATTTCAACATGGGGGTGTCCGTGACACGGTTTAAATGCAGGTAGCGGCGCTGCGGCTGCTTCATATAGCGACTCGTTGCTTTCTCCCTCAACCCAAATCCTCTGATCACGCATTTTAGCTAAAACGCTAACTTGCCTTGCGTTGACTGTAGAGTTGTGGGTGATGGTCACGCAGACGTGTCATGAGATTTGAAGCGTTGCTGCCTTTCACAGACACTTTTTCTGCTCGTGCTGCAAACAGGACTTCTATAAACTGTCCCTCGGCATTCTTCAAATATCCAAAAGATGCCCATACTTCCGACTTTATCTTCTTTGAGGGATAATAAATGTCCTCCTGAGCACTGCCGTCTCCTCCTTTGGCCATTATTTCAGCTTTAGCTTCAAGAAAGTTTTGGTTGTAAACAACCCCGGTAAAAAAGTTGACAATAATAATAACCGTCTTGTTTATTTAAAAAAAAATTGTCTCGGTGGATTACCGTGGCTGCGGTGTGGGCGCGGTGACCCTTACCAGCCACCGTATCATCTGCTGAAGTTGCTGGCGGCATATGCGCACTTTGTTGTTTATGACCAAAACTTTCTTTAAGCTAAAGCTGAAATAATGGCCAGAGGAGACGGCAGCACTCGGGACATTTATTATCCCTCAAAGATGACAAAGAAGGAAGTATGGGCATTTTTTGGATATTTGAAGAATGCCGGGGGACAGTTGATAGAAGACGGCTATCCTTTTTGCAGCACGAGCAGAAAAAGTGTCTGTGAAAGGCAGCAACGCTACGTGGCCATCATAAAGTAGCCATTGTCTCACGACTCCGCCATCTCCAGTTCGCCACTTTTCACAAAATCTTCTGGTTGCCACTGGTCCTGGTGGTTTTTCTTCCAGTTCGACGAGTTTTCCTTTGGAAGGCTGGCTGACTCCAGTTAAAAACCACCACATTTTACCGCTAGTTTTAACACAAAGCTAACTGCTAACTTGATAAACTGATTGAATGGGAAAGGTGGAAATGACGTTGGATGCGGCGCTCACTTTTCGCGTACGTTTGTGTACGTTGCATGCAGGTGGGAGGAGTAGCAGAAATCCATGGAAGATGACTGATAAACATAACTAATTTGGTGGAAACATTTCTAGCTATGTGGCAGATAGAGCTCAAAAATGTACTCGCCAAATGGAGCAATTTGCTCGCATTTGGCGAGCGTTAATTTCGGATGCGGCCTGCATACACCCTTGAAGAAGAAGGAAATACATCCCTTTTTTTTTAAAATAAATGACTTAAGCACCTCTATCTACTAATTTCTCAAAGAAATCCTTAACCCTATCAGGCTCAAAATAAGTTTTGATAAAAGGACGAATAACTAAGTCCTTCAGAAGTACTTATGAGTTAAAAAATGCTCATGAAATACGTATATGGAGTAACCAGGTAGGTAGGTTTTAACTGTTGCAAATCTGCAACGCCTGCCTCCAGAGGGTTAAGTATAAATCGCACAAAGTTGATGCCAAAGCCGTTTTAAACGAGCAGCGTTCTTGAGCTGATGCCATCTTTGTTTCTTTTGCTCCATTGCAGCTCTAATGCAAAGGCCGCCCAACAAATGTAGAGCGCTGTGGCAAGACACAAAATCGATCATGCCAATGGTAGACCTGCTGAGACTATAATGGAACGTGTATAAACCAACCTGCAGAACAAAATCCTTTGCTGCTGCTACAGTTGGTCTAGATTTTGACGCTAAAATATGATCTGGGTTATAAAAATTTTAGTGGAAATTCCAGATTCCTGCTTAAACAACTTTCACAAACAATTTAGTATCAGCTGTTGGATGTTTGTACTGTGACCTCAGCTTTTATAAGACTGTTGTTCACTGACTTTTACCATCCACCTGACCTCTACCAACGTAAACCACACACGTGTAGCTCTTGTGTGTGTGTGGGTACTTTTGTTGATGATCCTTAGCAGCTGTAGCCTGAATGTGTTTTTGTAGAAACCCCCACCACACACACTCAAACACAGAGAGGCAGATGGAAGGGCACACGTACATGTGTACATACATTCACATTATCACTCTTAGGGTTTGTTTTTAGGGTTAAGGCAGCTGGCCAAGAACAATGAGAGGCTTATTTAGCATTTCAAAGCTGCAGCTCTTTCTCTCCTTCCCTTTTCCGTACCCCCTCTCACGTTTCACAAGTGATGATGGGAACAAAATGAACTAATTATACTTTGATTCTAACTGAAACAGCAGGGCAAGAAATGAACCACCAGAATCATTCAGGATGTAAAAGAGAGCTGGAGTTTGAAGGGGGAGAAAAATAAGATCATGATCAGTCACTAGTACTTGGCCCTTTGGGCGTGTTGGCAGGAATGACATTTCTAAACTTCGCAGGCTGTGCAGCACTTTTCAGGTCTAATATCTAAAACTGCCTACTTCTAGAGTTTCCTGAAAAAAATACATGTTTGCATTGTGTGAGAGCGGATATTCCTGAAGTAGATTTCTACGAATGTAGTGAATGATTTCACCAGCTAAACTCCAGCAGTGGGTTAGAGTTGCCTGTACACGTCAACACAGTGTGTGTGTGTGTGTGTGTGTGTGCGTGTGTGCGCAAGCTTCTGCTGGCTGCTCAATGCAGAGTACACTTGGTGCTGTGTAACCTAAAGGTTTGAGGAATATATATATCGTATATAATTTTAGACCAAACTGTAAAATTCTGTACTTGCTTTTTTTCTGCTTTAAAATTGTTCTGTGCTGCAGCTATGTTAACCCTTCAAAGGGATCCTGTAGCAACTCTTTCTACCACTGGAAAATATTCTTTGAGCCTCTGTGTGGCATATAGAATGGGACTCAAAATGGTCCAGGAGCCCTGATAAATAGCTAAAAACAAATAAAGCCCTAAAATGTAAATGATAAATGACCAGCACTTGTAAAGCTCCTTTCAGAGTAAGCACTTTACTCTACAGTGTATCATTCATCCATTCACACACACATTCACACATGTGGTGATGAGCTACACTGTAGCTACAGTTGTCCTGGGGCGCACAGACAGAGGCGAGGCTGCCGAGCACAGACGCCACCACCAGCAGGCGAGGTGGGTTAAGTGTCTTGCCCAAAGATACAACATCAGAATTCTCTGTCTGGAGCCAGGATCAAACCTGCAACCTTCCGATTACTGGACAACCCGCTCAACTGGTTGAGCTACTGCTGCCCCTGTAATGTAAAGACTGCTTTACCCTGCCCATTTGGCCAGGATATGAAAATAATTGGCCAGTTGACCCTGATGGCTCTATGGTGCAACTTGAAGCCAGAAAGTCCCTGTACAGTATCTGGATAACTCTATAGGCAAGCTATCAATCTATATGGCATTCATTTAAAGCCTGGATATTCCCGGTACATCTTGGAAAGTTTCATGTGTGCTCCAACATTCTTCTCAGTTGTTTTCCTCTCGTCCAACACGGCCATTAGCAGTAGCTTGTGCTCAGGGTGCTCTGCGGTTAGTATCACCACCACCAATGTTTATGTTGAAGTGAGTTGGCGCATGCAGATATGAGGATGTATGTATGTGACATGTTAATGCAGCTTTTCTCGGAAATAAAACATTTGTTAAATGTTACAAAATTACTAATTTGCATAGTAAAGCTGGTCAGAGATGACACCAATGTTTTGGTGTGCTACATTAGACACCACAGTCTGCCTATATTCAACAACAAGGTAAATATGGATTAAAATTCTAGAACCCCTTTAAAGAAGAGCAGTTGTCAGAAAGTGTTAGCTCATAAACCTGGTGTACTCATGATACTCCGTTTTGATCAATAACAAAAGAGTTTGATTGGGACTCAGTTCCAAAACTTAAAATCAGATTAGATCTTTGCCGTTAGAATCTAAAATATTGTACTCACATTAATTTAAAGTGAATTTTGGGCATCCACTGTGCTCTTATTTTCTGTATTGTTTGTGATGATGATCCTCAGCATAAATATTTATTTTATGTTGTTTGTCCCCTTTGTGTGTCAGCCAGTTTCAGTTGTGGCCTTGGCTAACCCAGTGACCCTAATTGACTATTGATGCCTTTGGCTCAAAGTTGCAGCACTCTGTTGTGTTACTCTAGTTTTTTTATTCGCCATATATGGATCTTTCTGTTGCAACTGTGGCAACACTTCAAGCATTTGCAGGATGATTAAAAATAGGCAAGTCCTTTCCTGTCCATGTCTGAAAATACTGAAAAAGAAAGAAACAAGTATTTAAAATCCAGCCAAATTGCTCTTGTCATCACTTATTTGCACCAGTAAGTGAGCTCACGCTGAGCTGTATGTTTGTCTACGTGTGCACACAGACGTTTCTCACGGTTTGAGGAAGTGCAGAGGCGTTATAGAAATTGCAGTGCTGGAGTACGTAGGCAGATCTTTCTTTCTTTTGCACACAAATGCACACTCTGTTAATGATGATACAGAATCTGTCTTGAGTTATAGACATTCTGGGGAAAGAAACCCTGTTTTTTTCTCAGACCTCTTATCTTTTTATGTCCTCATAATTCAGTAGCCTGATTATTTTAAGCCTTTAGTGATTGCATAGCTGCACATACTGTACAGCTTGTCCCTTTAACTGCCAGCTAATGTGGACTTTGGACCTTGACTCTCCCTGCAAGGAAGTGGAAGGAAAGGCATTCCCAGAAGGTCTAATGATATATTGTGATGTCATAGACCGAGGTTGACCAACTGGGTATGTGTTTATGTGGTGTACTGCTTTAACCCTGCAGATCAAGAATGGTTTGGGTTGAACTTCTAGAACCTTTACAATTATTTGTAGAGGTGTCCCAAACTTCTACAAACAATATTTCTGTCATTGTTTTTTAATTGTATATTCTCTCCAAACATTTTGTTATGAACACCTGTAAATGTGGTTTTATCTGTAGGAGACAAAGATGGCAGCAAGGTAACGACAGTCGTGGCCACCCCAGGCCAAGGCCCCGACCGGCCACAGGAGGTGAGCTACACGGACACCAAGGTCATCGGCAACGGGTCGTTCGGTGTCGTCTACCAAGCTAAGCTCTGCGACTCCGGAGAACTAGTGGCGATCAAAAAGGTCCTACAAGACAAGAGATTTAAGGTAATAGATGCGTGAAAGACATGTGCGTTCACTAATATACACTCAAATGGCTTCATTTTCATCACCTTTTCAAACAACGTAACCAACCATGAAAGAAATTAACCTCAGTAATGGATGTAACTGAGTAACTGAGTGAGATGTAACTGGAGCGATCTATCTCACGAACAGGGAGATCAGAAAAGCTGGGGAACGAAAGAAAACAAATGAAAATGTGCATTCAACACGACCCTACATGAAAGAGTATGTATGTGTGTGTATTCATAAACGGAGGCCCCTAACTTCCTTTTTACAAATAAATTAGAGCGTATTAATGCTTTCATCAGGTTTAATTCAGGTGACACCTAGGATACGTTATTTATCTCTCCAAGTTGGACCCTGCTGCTGTCATCCTACTCCTGTGCTATCAACAGATTTGACTGATGAGTTGATGTTTCTTTGCTGAACAACTCTTGGCTTAGCGCCTGCATGAGCGTGTTTACATGGACATAAGTCTCCAATTAGAGGGTGATACTGGTTTTAATTGTTCTGGAACTATGACGTGACAAGGAGCCCAGGCTATGCTTACAAATATTTGCTGTGTGCAATAAATGCTAAAATTGCAGATTACTTGCATATGTCTCCTGCAACCAGTTATAGATTTAAATGGGTCAACCTTTTGGGCATCTGCACTGTTATATCAGACACACATCAACTATGATTAATACCATCTAATACAAAAGCCCTGCAGTAACCATAAGGAAGTTGTTTTGTTGTCATTTCTGTAATTCAGCAGAGCCTAAACCTGCAGCCTGGAAAAATATCTAGTTAATCAACATTTTCATTCAAAAGTAAACTCTGGAACCTTGCAAAAACTATTAGTTATTCTAAGGTTGTTTAAGCTGCTTTGGTTTTTGCATCCAACAGTTTTGAGGGTTTTTGAAGTTTTTTATTAGAATCATTTTATTCTAAATACAAAAAGCTATTTCTGTCCATCTCAAGTATCATCTACCTAGAGTTCTGAATAGATTCAGCTGATAAAGTACTTTCTAGGCAATGATGAAAATTATTTTGTGGTGATTGTAATAGAGCACATTTTCCTCTCGACAGGGTCTCTTTAGTAAAACTCTTTACATCATCAAAGAACAGCATGACCGTTTTCATTGGAAACTTGATGTAAGAAACAGTTTCCGTCTGGTATTTTAAAGTCATCACACCAAGACCACCGTCAAGCCTGCTTTATGAAATTAAAATAGTTTTTGTAGACACTTCTGTCAAATCTTAAAAACATCAGTTTAGTATTTAGAGTATGCTTCTGGAATGACTATGGATTTTGAAATGAAACTAAATATGAATGGAAATAGACTTGAGGTATGCCTATTTTTGTTAGTCATCCTTTTGCAATTGCAATAAAGCATAATCATTTATTGCATACTGAAAGTTTTAATAAAGACAAGGTTCACTTGTTTTTTCAGTGTGTCTGCAGTGTTTTCTACTATAAATGAGTCGATCTCTATAGGGATAAAGCTCTGGCGCTCCTGTTTCAGGAAGTCAAAGGTAGCCAGAGCAGAGGGCAGCAGAAGATGAAAGGATTTGGAGTCTTACTGATATCCAGACATCTCACCTCTGATTGGCTAACAGCAATGCTGCTCTACTGTAGGGTTGTCACGGTATGAAAATTTAACTTCACGGTTATTGTGACCAAAATTATCACGGTTTTCGGTATTATCGCGGTATTTTTTTTAAACGTGTTACATTTTCAGACAACTAAATAAACCCTGTATATCAGGAAAATATTGTCCTCAGTTTGTGTCTAAATTTTGCCTAAAATTTGTTATTTTATAATTATGTTGTTTATTTGTTTACATTTTTCCCCTTTAGTCTTTAAAATACCAATATTTGCCCATAACTTCTTATTTTTTGTCTGTTTGATGTCATCATTTTAAAAATATTAGATCAGATGATACTCCGTACTCAAGTAGCCTTCTACTCAGTTACTTTTTTTACCCTTACTTGAGTAATAAACCCTATAGAGCTCCGGGAGTTAACGTCACTTCTCCCGGCATGCAACAGTTCAAATCGAAACGGCGCCATATTGGCAGGTAGAAGCCGGCAGCTGGACTATTTGTTATTGTCAGAAAACTCAATCAGACAGGAAATATGGTAGATTCCTGTTGTGCCCCAGGATGCAGAACAGACGCGGACAACATGAGGAATGAGCCATCTACAGGATTCCCCAAGATCCGGAACGCCACAAACGTTGGATCATTGTCATGAAACGCGCTAGTGACCGGGCTAAAATGAAACTGTGGGATCCTGAGAGTAAAGGTTTTCGCTTATGCAGCGACCACTTCATATCAGGTACTTAAACCAACGTTTCCTCAACTGTGTATGGTATTTATTTTAAATGCTTTTATTGCGATTCTTAGTGGGCTTCCTAAACTTATTTTGGCATGGCTTTTTCTGTCTTATTACTCCTAGCAACAAGTAAACATCACGTAAAACGTTGCCTCGTGATTTCTGCGTGCTGCCGTTTACGTGTCTTATGATCACAGCAATTAACCGGCTAAGCTGTATTTAATTTTTAAGCAATGGTTGATCAATTGTCAGATCACACATAAAAAGCACTTTGGATTGCTATTATCTGTCTCACCGAGACAGATCCTGAGATGCTCCTGCCTGACATATTTATTTTATTCACGGAAAACAATCAAACTAGTGATTTCTCTTGGCGTTCAGTTTATACACTCAAACAGCACAGCACTCTATTTAAACTACATACGTGTAAATCTGTTATTTGTCCATTCATCCATCCATTTTCATCCGCGTATCCGGATTCATGTTGCGGGGGCAGTAACGTCGAGAGGCCCAGACCTCCCTCTCCCCAGCCACCTGAGCCAGCTCCTCCGGGTAAATCCCAAGGGGTTCCCCCGGCCAGGTCCGGTAAGAAGTCCGCTCCGACAGCTTCTGGCGTTTTTAAAAAGTATCCCAGGGGCACGGTAAGGGTCGGAGATGTTTAGTCTATTTAATTTCTGACTATATAAAACGATTTCTTCGGTTTTAAAGTGTGAAGTAAACTCCGCCGAAGTAAAATCCAAGCTGATCCCGTTCACGTTCATGGTTACGATCCGTGTTTGTTTAGCTTCTTTTACCTGCCAATATGGCGTCTACTAACTGAGAGTCACGTGGGGTCTGGAGCCCTATATCAGGAAAATATTTTCCTCGGTTTGTGTCCTTCTAGTGCGCTTTGCAGATTTGGGAAAAGTCATCAGGCAGTAATCATTGTTAAATTCATAATTATTCTCGGAGAGAGACCAACTCTTATCTGCCCCTGGGAGCCCCGTAATGCATAGCTTCATTTCAATATGGGGGTGTCCGCGACACGGTTTATATGCAGGTAGCGGCGCTGCGGCTGCTTTATATAGCGACTCGTTGCATTCTCCCTCAACCCAAATCCTCGGATCACGCATTTGAGCTAAAATGCAAACGTTAGCTTGCCCTGCGTTGACTGTAGAGCTGTGGGTGATGGTCACGCAGATGTGTCATGAGATTTGAAGCGTTGCTGCCTTTCACAGACACTTTTTCTGCACGTGCTGCAAACAGGATAGCCGTCTTCTATCAACAGTCCCTCAGCATTCTTCAAATATCCCAAAAATGCCCGTACTTCCGACTTTGTCTTTTTTGAGGGATAATAAATGTCCTGAGTGCTGCCGTCTCCTCCTTTGGCCATTATTTCAGCTTAGCTTCAAGAAAGTTTTGGTTGTAAACAACAAAGTGCGCATGTGCTGCCGGCAACTTCAGCAGATGATACGGTGGCTGGTAAGGGTCACCGCGTCTACACTGCAGCCACGGTAATCCACCGAGATAATATATTTTTAAAAAACAAGACGGTTATTATTATTGTCAACTTTTTTTACCGGGGTTTACCGCTACACCGGTTTCCGTGACAACACTACTCTACTGTTGTCACCATTTCTTTTACAATGCTGATTGTTTATCTCCACAAATGACACAAGCCTGAAGGAGTTCTGCCACGTTGTGGATTAGCTAGTGCTAACAGTTAGCATACCTCAGGTAGTAGAAACTATCTGCACTCCTCGATGCTAAATCAACAACAGTCTTCCCCGTCGCGAGCCAAGATGGGTGAGTCCATGAATACTAATTTTCAATGTGACGTAGACATCAACTTTTCTAACTCGAGCGTTTCCCCGCCTATTTTCTATCAGCGGCTAATCCAGGAAATAGGGGTAGAAGACTATTCACACGTTTGGCCTTAAACTCAGAGTGACCATTCATATTTCAAAAATAAGAAAGAAAGTGGTTTTTCAGTGAACTTGGTCTTTAAAATCTGACCAGTAGTTCTTGGGGTTTTTTGCTTACACCACAATCAAACACGTGCACACACACAGATAAAACTATTATTATGATAAATATCAAAACAGAGACTCGGTGTGATGTTGAGTTTCTTTCATCTGTTGGGGCAATTCTAACAAAACAACATAGACATGAAGTCCTGTATTTTGATATTAGCCTCTATATGTTAGATAAAATGCTGAAAGACTTTTGTCATGCTCTGCCTATACATTGTTTTTATGCTTCATCAAAATAAAAAGAAACATTAAAAGAAACCACAAATAAAGCACCTACTTTGAACACATTCTGACAGTGAGTTACCTAGGTTTGAATTAATAAGTCAATTTTACATATTTGTTTCTTCGAGAGAGGAGGTTAAACATTGTCTCACAACCCGTGGGTGAATTTCACTCGAGCCTTTCTGAAAACGTATGAATGTGCAGCATGTAACCCGACTGGTTTGGCTTAAGACTTCAGCAGCTCAGTGTCCCTAATTTGAACCTTTTTAAGGTTTGACACAGTCTGTGCTGGAGCTTCACTCCAAGGCCAGACCAGATAAATGATGTCACTTAATGGCGTGGGGGTCGACCATCTGCCACAAAATTCACAGAGCTTCTCTGGGACGTTAACACTCTTTGGGACTCTGCATGCTGTCTGTAATGAAGTCATAT